TTGTGGGGGGGGGGGGGGGGGGGGGGGGGGGTATGTTTTGTGAGATCATGCTTATTATTTGTGAGGGGTGTATGTTTTGTGAGATCATGCTTACTATTTGTGAAGGGTGTATGTTTTGTGAGATCATGCTTACTATTTGTGAGGGGGGTATGTTTTGTGAGATCATGCTTATTATTTGTGAGGGGTGTATGTTTTGTGAGATCATGCTTGTTCTTTTGCATGCTTGTTATGATCGTACATGTATATTGAAATATATCTATTATATACTAGTATATGTGGTGGTGATACTGTAATCATTTGGATAGACTTTGGTATCGATTCCGTCATTTGGAATGATTTGGTATATTTCATTACTCATTTTAAGGAATACTTAATCAATTATACATTAATGAAGAAAACATAGCTTTCCTGGAAGAAAAGTACGTATAACCTAGCCTTTGTCAGCTTTACCCGGTTCAGTTCAGTCAGCAAGCTACTGCCACGTGAAATTACTTTATACCCGCACTACGAATGACAATAAAAAATACAATATTTTGTTATGAAACTATGTAATTAGTTTTACATTAACAAAACAAAATATTTATACATCTAATTTGTGGACTAGAGATGCATTTTTTGTCATACAGGAATACTGTTTTAAATTATCTTATGTCAATTTTATCGGGAAGTAAACGGTTGGATTATTTCTTCGGTAGGTGTTTATATTTAATAAGTGATATTATCTTGTGCTGATCTCGTTATGCTCTACAAGTTTCTGTAATAACGACTGAAATACCCATTAAGAGACTACATCTAATACGTTATGTGTAAATAAGTCATGGAGTCCTGCTCTGTTCAAATATGGTGATGTAGATCCCCTTTAAACAGAAACAGAGATAAATTTTAAATTTTCATATAGTGTTCTGGGTGACTCTCATCTTACACAGTCAGGATAGGAATGCTTAGGGGAAAACGCCTGTCAATATATAATACATGGTTATGATCACTTGGTCTAAAAGACCTGTGAAAAGATGTCATGTCGCAGCGTTCGTCATCCGTCCATCCATCCTTTCTTTTAAAATCAATCTTGCTCCTCTTGAACGAATGATCGGATTTCAACCAAACTTTCTTTGATGCATCCTTGTGACTAATATCAAACGTGGTAAGGTGGAAGAATTTATCCCCTTCTCTCTCCCGGTTTATTTTTCAGGGGACTGAGTAGCATGGCCCAATAAGAGGGGAATTGGTTGATTTCAGCCTTCAATAGACTACTCCTCTTGAAGAGATTGACAGATTTTAGTCTATTGCAGCATTTAACAACAATAGGACAAGGATCTTATTACCATATTATGTCTGAAATGCATAAATAAAGATGGTATGAACCCTTGGGACCAGAGGGGCTCAAAACACCACAAAATAAGTCATTTTAATCTTAAAAGCCTACGTCCTGCGTCATGACGTGGAAACAGTTGCGATGCCCACTATATAACCTTATATACAATACTGGGTATCCCGATCATCCTCGAATTACTCTCCTTCGAAGAATTCTTATCGGAAAATGGATAAATCTTGCGAAAGAATGTGATGATACGGGGGCAAAACAAGTTAAACCCCCTATTCCATGTCACATGTTCTCGGCGTATTCATCTTGTCCTCTTTTGATGTACATGAACCATATTCGAGTTTAAATCAAAATAAAATTCCATGTCAGCTAAAGCAGCCATAACAAGACGAACGTATTACATACACATAAGGGATTGTCACTTTTAATTTCAGATTACATGATATTGTTTCTAGTCTTTGTAAATAGTTAACTGTTACCTTTGAGAACTAATTACAAACTCATATGTATCAAAACAGTCGGACACAGCCAGCAGGATACGCGTTCCGCAGTCTCTACTAGTCTGTGCACCACCGTCTTGCGTGTATCCTCGACAATGACCAAAGCCTGTAATGTCTTCAAGGCTTAACTTGGCGGGAACCCTCTGCATGGAACCTCCAAATGAAACAGTCATGTGCGCCAACCATGCTACACATCTTGCTCCCTATTCTGTTCCGTCGATATTCTGGTACTTGCGAGATCCTTCGGCCTGTTCCACAGACTGACTTGCGGACAATTTCTTTCATGTCCTGGTCTAGATTCCTGAAATATTATCTGATCGTTCTTCGAATCTTGCAGCAGCATTACCAGTCTGTCTTTTGTGGTCTTGAACACCTCCACCAACGGTGATAGGTGGAGTTGCGGCAGCGATGTCCGGCTGTAGAGCCCAATGCTGGATGCACTGAGGGGTACTCGAATCCACCTCGGCAGGTAGCTAATAGATCTCTCCAGTCCTTGCACTGTTACCAAAGGAACTTCGCGTAGTATCGTGACCAATAGCCACATGCGACTCGACAGCAATTCATTTTGAAGTTTTGTTTGCCTTGAACTTTTCTTGCAGGTCCGATTTCTCAATTTTACTCATTCGTACAGGCCATCACGAGCCTCAACAATCCTAGAGTATATTATATTGTCTAAGTTACATGGAACTGTGAGCAACCAGTCCGCTGGAGTATATTTATCTTCTGAGATACAAGGAACAAAATGCTCCCCTACACCAGAGTACATCATATCGTCTTAGTAACAGGGACCTGTGAACATCCACTCTTACTTATAGCGAACTAAGAACGTCCACTCTACAATAGTAAATCGAATCGTCTGAGCTACTGTGGACCACAAGTATCTCTTACCCTTAAGTACATTTATCGTTTTTGTAACAGGGGATCAAGATCCTCTCCCAAACTAGAGTAACTAGAATTATCTTCGTTACAAGCTACCCATCCTCATTAGTCCAGGGGTTACGCTCATTTACATGCTCTGTTCCCCTGGAATATATCATGACAAAGTTAGCGACTTGATTGGTTTCAAGTATAAAAAAAACTCTGACCAATCGCTAGGCTGATACCTGTGCTTTGAATATTACTAAGGAGCGATACTCAGCTTCAAAGTCGGCTAATCTTACCGTTATTCTGTCGCACGATTCTTTTGATGAACGTCAAAGGACCAAACCACAGGAGTCTGAAATTCTGTTAATAATCAAAAGTAATAATAACAATATTAAAATGTCATAAGATGATTAAAAAATAGAAGCATATATATATATTCTTAATGACTATTATTATTAATCATTGACAGAATATCAGACTATTGTGCTTAATATAATATAGTTGTATCATCTTTAAGGTGGCGCATATAGAGCCTTCAGGATTTATCATGGCATATTCCAGGGGTGAAGAGAACGTAAGTGCGCGTAACCTCTTGGATGTCGGGATGCATGGAACCATAAATATGATCCTCTCTACTTGAGAACATTACACCGTCTTAGTGACAGAGAACCGCGAACGTACACTCCCTTAGAGTACAACGTAAATGGAAGCAACGAGTAAATGGTGGTTGCCATATCAAAGTATCATAACTGTGACATGTTAAAATGATGGTCTCCGTGGTTCCCGCCGAGTAGAAATGTAACCGGGGTCGACATTCATGCTTTGCCATGAAAACATAAAATGCAAGGTAAACATACTAAATACAAGTTCCTACTTACAGTTTCTGTACGTATCTTTTTCTGCTCTCCTATCATCGCAGCATGCAAGATTTGGGGTTTTTCGTTTTGTATCCGATTCCATAAAAAAAATAAAACCTTTCAATTGAATTTTTAAATCATTGCTTGTAATATTATGAATAATTCCTCGATGCTATTACGAAAATATATCATATTTCGCGCGGTTGACTACAAGGAATGAGCGCGAAATAGTTTTCTCTGATGGTTCGCCCTGTAGGTGACACACCTGTATTGGCATGACAGGCACGTGCAGCTGGAGAACCATTATTCATATTCGTCATCAATTTCGGCTATGCTTTTATGGTAACTAGTTTAATATTGCTTTTTTTTTTTTTAAATACCGTTAGTCAATTTTATCGAGTTTTCGCTATGTACTACTCGTGTCTTCACAATTTCCTTTGAATTATTTTATTCAAGCATTTGCTCTATAGTTCAAAGAAAAAAAATCATGGCAATATTGACTTAATATTTCAACTCGTAACTATGACAGCAGTAATTAGAAACACAAAATAAATCTGTTCACAATAGTATTAGGGAAGTATTCGAAACTATAAAGTGACAATGATTTCAATATAAGATTTTCAATTTTCGGAATCTGGGGGTAAAGAACCAGCCTGAATATAATACGATCTTATTATTGAATTTTATATACATTTTTTGTGTCTGATCATATGATATAAATTTAGCGGTAAAATGTCTAATAATTGAATTTTGAAGTCAGTCACAATCATAATCAGATTAGCAGGCAATTTTTGTGACTTATTTTAAACGTTGTTTAGATCCCATTCTCGTCATAAAATACGCGTCGTAAGTACCAGAAAAAGCACACAAAAATGCATCTCCTAGCCCTCAGACAGGAAATAACAGGTTTAAGATACTAAGTGTCATTTGTTTTTGTCCCATATTGGTTTCCAATTTGATGGTCTCGTAAACCGACAGTAGTCCGTGATTTGTAATCAAGCACGTGAGTAAATGTAAAACTTCGTTACCTGGATATTGATAAAGTGTAAACTATTTAAATAATGAATGTAAAATTGTGTTTACATAAATATGTTTATGATAAATAAACTAAATGAATGAAGTCGGAGTCCTTATTTGTTCTATGATAAGAAAACACTACTGCACATGTGTATATTACTAGTGCCAGCGAGGCAGTAGCAATTTCACAAAAGCTGTTTAGTTCAACTTTTGTCCCGATAAATCACATTTCGTTCTGTACAGTCTTTCACTCGTTCGACGCCTTTAGGCCTAATAGTTTCCGTGTATATGTATTTATTAAGCCTACACATAAAATTGATGATGACAACAGGTGATGTGATTTCCTTTTTTAATAATCAAGGACGGCAACCCCTGTTCTAATATGCGCAAAGATCTATTGCGCAGAATATGCAAATCACCCGTGACAACAAATACGTCATCAGGTGCCCCCTATGTATGCAGCTACTAGCCGACTTCTACCTGTCAATGTTTTGATTGTGATACGTGTGTGGAATAAGGCAATTGAAGCTGTCATGGAGTATATTCTGAAGACTTTGTGATTTTGGATTACTAACTTATCAATGATATGGTGTGGAAATACATCGGTAATACGAAAGTGCAGTAAATCTGCTTGATTTCTGGCGTTCTCCCTGTGGCTCGCTTTGGATCCAAAATGGACGCACAACCAGAAATAGATCCGAACTTCGAGCCACAAACGAGAGCCAGGAGCAACACTTGGCCATGCAGGCCACGAGAGCCTATTAACGATACCCAGAGTTCACCAGCATCGGACGAATGTGCGTCAGAAAATGCAATAAAACAGGAAAATGTCGGCTTAAACAAGAAGACATCATCTCGACGTAATGCGTGGGGAAATCTCTCGTATGCTGACCTAATTACGAAAGCTGTACAAAGTTCGGCTGAGCAGCGACTTACACTGTCGCAAATTTACGATTGGATGGTCCAAAATGTACCCTACTTTAAAGATAAAGGGGACAATACAAGTTCGGCAGGTTGGAAGGTGAGTTTTAAACATGACATGTGCCCGTATTGCTTGTTCATCAAAGGCGCTAGCTGACAGAAACCGTTGTACCACCATCGAGTATGTGTGTACTGTACTGTACACATCGATTTGTTTTGGTAAGGAACAACCACGTGGTTGGCAAGCTACACATTTCTACGCAAGACGCTTACATTTGATGATGTTATCATAAGATAGCATAAACTGTGAATTGATATTTACTTATCAGTATTGTTGTTGACATTGTATAAAGTTTCCTAGATTGTTTTGATTTGCGAAGGGGGCGTGGTCTTGTATATTACATGGTTAGACAATGCAATACACATCACAGGTAATAGACACAACATATCTTATGCCTATATTCTAATATGTAATTAGTAATTACATATTAGAATATAGGCATAGGATATGTTGTGTCTATAACCTGTGATACACATGCTCAATATTAGTCAAAACGCACTTGGAGAAATCTCAGGTACTGGGCACAGTTTACTTGTTTAATAACATAATTCTTACTAGTACTAATTTTAATACCTGGCCTCTTCTGACCACGCAATACATTAAAAAAATCTCCTTGTCAGAAAGCTACCTTATTGTAGCTAACGTTAAATTCTTATATATATATGTAGATATACAGGTAGCGACACATTATAAAAAAATGACTAATTCACAGGTAATATTACATTAGTGCTAGTATAACTTCACATATATAATGTTATTTTCTTCAACACTCAGGGGTAGATTCCAGCAACTCCCTGGGGTCCCTAAATATATTCTGCCCCAAATGCAGAACATATTTATTTTATTTATGAACTGACGAGGATCTATCTATCTATATGTTATAATCCACAGAGACCTAAATAGCTTTAATGCAGAGCATTGTTATTAATTGGTTGACCTGGCTCCGTATATAATCATTGTAGTGTGTGGTGAGTTAGTCCTTGACATAGATTCACAATTTCACAGCATTAGTTGTTACAGAATTTGTTATTGAGATTGGATGTATGACATTAATCTAAAATAGTACAATAATCAAACATTATAGCTGTGAGGATACTTTAACCATACAGGGTGTTCTGGTGCTATGGTTATTGGCATTATAATTCTAGATTGAAGTAGACATGTGATTTGTGTGCAAGTTATACAAACTGGTTCTTCAAATTATGTTAAGTGTTCTATTATCTCAACATCATCCACATAATAATTACAAAGACTTGAATGATAACTGGCATGGCACAGTTACTGGTCCAGGTCATGTATTATTACTTGTACAGTTTCGGTCAACCATATATTACAACTTAGTGATTAGGTTCATTCACATGTAGGTTTCAAATGTTCTCATAGAGTTACTTTAAAACAGGACAAGTAAAAAAGGCATTCAAAATATATGCATTTATAAATATATGGGAAGTATTTTACTAACTTCTTTTTCAGATCTGGTTACAAATGCTACAGAATATCTATAGCTAGGGGTGAAACATGTTAATATAGTTTTCTGGATTAATTACATGAACATATGATAATGCCAAAGTTTTCTTTATTATATTATTCATCATTGTCCCACCACAGTTATTATCAAAAGAAACTTTTACATAACAATTGATCTTTTATCAGTAATATTATAAAAATCTTTGATAAAATAAAGGTAATCAGAGTTTCAACCTCTCAAGTCTGGTTTCCATAAAGTACAAGGTGGCAAAAACTTGTTTGCAACCTGAAGGATGATATGTTATTAACGTTATGGGAACTAGTCTTCAGGAGTTACTACTGTCCTTGCTGTTTTGAGTTATTCCCTTTTTGTTCTTCAAAAAAATTACATGAGCTGAGCTCTATATACCATAATAGATCTTCCTGAATCTGAGAAGATGAACTCTGATATGTTTTCGTGCCAGGACTGGGTACCTTATTACTTGATTTTGGTTCTTACAGGATGTTTACAATGTCCATACTTTACACTAGTAATGTAGCGTGTATTGACTGCTTGTGTCAAAGAAAATGTGTTTTATGATATTGAATTACAAATTCTGGAAACAGATTGCGAAAGAAATATCCATACTGGGCAGCTAGGGTTACTCGGACATAATACTGGGCAGCTAGGGTTACTCGGACATAATTCTGGACAACTAGGGTTACTCGGACATAATACTGGGCAGCTAGGGTTACTCGGACATAATACTGGGCAGCTATGGTTACACGGACATAATACTGGGCAGCTAGGGTTACTCGGACATGATACTGGACAGCTAGGGTAACTCGGACATAATACTGGGCAGCTAGGGTTACTCGGACATAATACTGGGCAGCTTGGGGTTACTCGGACATAAATCTGGACAGCTAGGGTTACTCGGACATAATACTGGACAGCTAGGGTTACTCGGACATAAAATTATCCTGAATATAAAAATGAAGCTGGATTAGATTTATGCACAAATATGTATACCGGTAGTGTAGTCGGGTAGAGTTTTGGTGCTTCCATTTTAGGGACAAAAGAGTAAGAACATTGTATTGTACAGGGATTAAGATATTTACATAGGTGAATTCATTAAAATGTGGTATCAGTATCAGTATAAAATGGTTTCTCTGAAAAATTCAGACATATTTTAAAGTGTGCAACTCAACACTGAAGAAATATCAGTTTTCTAGTGTATGTTTGTCAGTTATCTTTTTTCAAGTGATCATGACCTGCAGTTTGCCAAAAGGCTGAGGAAATTAGTCATGCATTAATTGATGTCGCACTGCATTTCAAGATAGATATAAAAACTTATGAGTTATCTCCCTTTAACAACTACAAAAAATCAAAATGAAACCAAAACAGTGAAAAAAGCGTGAAGGTATTTTCTATTTGGTAACAAGATATGTTATATCTGGCTTGGAGGTAAAGTGTGATGTACCACTTAATCCTTAATGATCCCAGACTTCCAGTGAATTTATTTGCCCATACATGTACATGTAATAATCATTAACTCCATGTCAAGAAAAATGTCTTGTATATACGAATAAACACCCAGTATTTTTTTATGGTATGCGTACAAAGAATATTTTGATATTTTGTATGGAGCTGATATTACATATACGGTTACAGTACATTGTATTCACAATGTATTGCAACAGTGAGGCCTTACATAAAGTCATTGAAGTTGGCCTGTATTTCTCACCTTGATATCTAATCATGTTTTCATAATTTAAAATCCAGGCCAATATGTATACAATCATGATTGTGTTCATCTCTTCATTGACATTTTCAGAAAGTACTTGGTATGCGGTATGGTTATGACTAGAGAATCGTAATTGTTTTCATGAAAAGACCAGGAATTGAGTCCATATGGTCAGACTTGACCCCAGGGCATATCCTGGTAGCATGCACTAGTGTAGTCATACCAAGCAATTGTATAGATGGTTCTAGAGTGGGGATCTTTAATATTTCCATACTTTGGCTCAGAAATTAGTTAATCAAGTCCCCAGGGTTAGGAGCAGACCAAAGGTCCAATTCTGGTAGTGTGATTTTGTTTGTTAAATGTGTGAATCTACACGTCAGCCATTTTTATGATTTTTTTTCGATTTGAAATTCTCACACACACCTTTGGTTATTACTAGGGAACACTAGGGAAGCCTTCTACTATACACGTTCGGGTTTGGTATAGCAACAACCCGACTTCACACTTCCTGGCTACCGATCAAAACCTACAGACCGAGAAACGACATATGTCGCGCGTAGCACTGACAGTCCGACTTTTCAAAACGACATATGTCGCGTGTAGCAGCCTCTAAGGGTTACAATTTTGTTCCTTTTCATAAAAATTCTTAATAGAATCCTAAGTGAAAAATGTATTGTACCTTTCAATAGCTTGATCCCTCTCTTTAAGTGTAAAAATAATTGTAAGTGAAAATGCTTGTAATAATTTACATAACAAAGTTAACATGGCTGCTGAGTTTATTGTTTGAACTGCACAGCTTTTTATGTTGTGAATGTTGAATGTTGTGTGGACAGCCACGCGACATTCAAATTCCTGCACAACCTTAACCAAAGCCCTAAGGAGAAAAGAATTTGAAATGTATTCATCTTTTGTACATGTACAACATCCCCTCTTTACTACATTCTTTGTCATTTACCAAATGAAAATCTGAATATTGACTCTACTTGACTTTCATGTCAAGCTGCTGTGTTTACATAAAGGTTTGTTTGGACAAATACTAAAATGCGAAGTCTACGCTATGTACCGGTAGTTGCTCACTTGAGATTCATATTTCAGAGTCAACATTTTATCCTAGAGTTATTGCCCTTTTTGTGCTTGACAAATTTTCAAAACTATTCAACTAATTACATTGAAACTTTCTTGAAGTGATATATAGAGGACAAATCTTCAAAACTATTCAACTAATTACATTAAAACTTTCTTGAAGCGATATATAGAGGACAAATTTTCAAAACTATTCAACCAATTACATTGAAACTTTCTTGAAGTGATATATAGAGGAAATATATACAGTTTCCTTTATACCAGACTGCAAACGTTTGATTTTTAGCTCACCTGGCCCTTTGGCTTATGGCATGGTCTGGCGTCCGTCCGGCGTCAATTTTTTACTTTAAACAACTTAAAGTAACCAAAAGGCCTAGGGTGATGATATTTGATCAGAAGCATGCTGGGATGAAGGGCTACCAAGTTTGTTAAAAAAAATGAACTTCATCCATTTTCAAGGTGACAGGGGTCAAATATGTTAAAATCTTTAAACAGCTTCTTCTGAATAACCAAGAGGCCAAGGGTGATGATATTTGGCCAGTAACATGCTGGGATGAAAGGCTACCAAGTTTGTTCAAATATTAGAATGACCATGACTTATATTCAAAGTCACAGGGGTCAAATATGTTAAAATCTTTAAACAATTTCTTCTGAAAAACCAAGAGGCCTATAGGATTTTCCCTCCAAAATAGAGATACTGGGCAAGTTCATGTACAGAAGACTTTTTAATTCCAACCACAAGGTTTTTAGTGCTGTCCTGTT